TTTTTATACAAGTAAGTTGTGTAAGTTGCTAATGTTTACAGTACAAACTCCCTGTTTTGCAGGGAACTGAGCAAACAGATGCAAATGGTTGCTGCAAAATATGTAAGTATTAAAAAAAATCACATTACACAGTATTACTTTATATTTTTGAAAATGTAATTTCATATTAATATATGCCTTCATAAATCATTTATAACTGTTAAATCTCAAATATTTTCTTCTGTTACCCCAAGAAAGAAAGCCAATGCTTATAAATTTCCTGTCAGGCAAACCACAAACAAATCATTTCAGCAGCATGTTTTCATTCACAAAGGCTTCTAGACTTAAGAGCTTTTTTAGGTGACGATCAAATTATTAAACATGAACAACAAACAGAACATGATAATTACCAATCCGGTCATTCAAGTGATTTTCTGTCATTCACAGGTCCGCCTCCTTCCCCCTGTAAAATCCACACCAACACCACCTATCTGTACATAAATGACTGCAAATCAGTTGAGGAAGTGGAACTCACATCATGTGAGGGATCCTGTGGAGCATCCTCCTCAATGTGAGATTCATGAAAATATGCAGAAACAAACTATTCACTCATTCATGCTAAACTGCATGTGCCGTTTTTTATGATAATTTCTTATTAAACAGTTGTTTGTTTTGGAAACTATCTTTATATGCAGGTATTCGGCAAAGGCCAATAGCATGATGCATTCATGCACCTGCTGTCAAGAAATGAAGACCAGCGAGAAGGAAGTGCAGATAAAGTGCTCCGATAACACCACAAAAATGTACAAGTACATTTCAGTTGACCAGTGCGGCTGCAAAGCTGCTGAATGCAAAGAGCATGATTGTAAAGATTGTGAAAAGAAAAATGAAAAACTGAACTAGAAAATCAGACCAACTATTGTCAACTATTTCTTCCTAAAACCTATCTAAACAATATAAACTTAATATCAGAAGACTAAAAACAAAACTCGATGCTAAACCTCTTAAACAGCAGAGATGTTTTAGTCTGAAACTTGCATCTTCTTAAGTTGTCTCTTTCTAACTTACAGTCCCTCTCCAAACATTTGCATGTACTGTTTTGGAGGTGGGAGAAAATAATATATTTCTGTGGTGGGTGTGTCCTTTTATCTCTCCAGAAGTCATTCCTTCACAAACTTTATGATGTGCCATTTCAGCTTCCACATAAATTTAGAAATTCAGATTTAACTGAAATCGCAGTAATTCAGTCATGGCTCTTTAAATTGGAAAAAGAGTTCCATATAAGAATGGGAAAACCAATAACTTGAATTTTAAATTATAGTTGAACATTATTTCTAACAACACAATTATGTAACATTCAATTTTATTATTACCAAAAGAGTTAAAAGAATGTCTAAAATATCTTTGTCAAATATCTGATATTTTCAACTACTTTCTATTTCAATAAAATTCAGCATGATCATGATCATGTGTTCTTGTTTTGGTTTTATATCCATTTTCTGTGTGGTCATTCATTTTGTAGCAATAATTGCATGGTATTTGAAAATATACCATCATTAATATTACATGTATTGAATTTGGATTATTTGATGTGATGCTACTTGAAACAGCTATTGGGTGCAAAACCTTTCAACTCTAAAATATCTTTCTGCAATTGTCATTTGTAATAAACCAAAACGTATAAGCCAATTTGTTGGCAAAGAGTCAAATGCACTTGCAGCACAGATTTTGAGTAGCTGGAATAAAAACCTCATCCAGAATTCACATTAGATTCAGATTAACTCTGACAGAGGGCAGACAGGGTGGCGTGGGTGGAGACAAGTGTTAAGGCTTGATTGGTGACAGAAGGATTGCAACACGATTGAAAGGGAAGGGTTTCAAAGCTGTAGTGAGACTTGCTATGATGTATGGTTTGGAGATGGTGGCACTATAAAACAAAGAAAAAATGGAATTGCTATATATGCAACTGGGTATAGGTAATCTATAAAGCAATAAGGAGGGTAAAGCTATTAGTGAAGCAGCTGAGATTATTCAGCCAAGGCAAACTTTGTTTAAAAATTTGAAGCAGCCAGGAAAGTAAGAGCATGCAATCTATTGTTATAATATTATGAGCATTAAGAAAACTAATTATTAGAAAGATGTATTAAAAGGTTGTTTTTATTCATATTTTTTCTAAAATACTAACACTTTTAGACTCTATATAACCCAAATGTCATGGCGGCAACTCACTGTATGTAGATGTATGACCAAGATGACCTGCTGAATGTCATTACTCAACAGAATTCCAGAATGAGGAAGAAAGTTGATTTAAGTCACTTTGAACATGGCATGGATGGCAACCAGACTGGTCTAAGTATTTCAGAAACTGGTGATTTACTGGGATTTTCCCCTCACAACCATCTTTACAGTTTACAGAGGATGGTGCCACAGTGAGTGGTAATAGTGAGAAGGACTCATCCAGGCTGGAAAAACTGATCAGGAAGGCTGAGGAGACCAGAGGAGTTTGTTCAGTGATAGGTTGCGTCTCCCAAAGACAAGAACCAACAGATTTAAAAAACTCCTTTGTCCCACACGCCATCAAACTGTTTAACTCCTCTCTGGAGGGGAGAGGGAGGGGAAACAGGAGGACAAAGGAGGGGGGAACAACTAAGCTGTAGTGCCTTTTCACTGTCCAATACTTTTTATAATAACCAACGGTGCAATAGACATCAATATTTGAAATGTGCCATTCCCTTGTATTCGTATTCCTATTTATTCTATTTATCCCTTTTGTATACTCTTTATTTATATGTCTCTGTCTCTGTATTTATATATGTGTATATATGGTATTCTGCTCACATTCTGTAACTTTTGTTGGTGCTGTGCTATTTGGAAACCGAATTTCCCAGAGGAACCCACCCGAGGGAAATAAAGTTCTATCTTATCTTATCTTATCTTATCTTATCTTATCTTATCTTATCTTATCGCCTTGTGAAGTCAGAAAAGACTAGCCAGACTACTTCCAACTGATAGGAATGCACCATTAACTCAAATAACCGCACACTGCAACCAAGGTATTCAGGAGAGGATCTCTGAATGCACAAGATATCAAACTTTGAACGCAATGAGCTACAGCAGGACCACAATGAGTACCACTCCTGTCTGCTAAGAACAGGAAACTCAGCTACAATTCATGCAGACTGACTAAAACTAGACAACAGAGGAATGGAAACACATTGCCTGGTTTGATAAGCCTTGATTTCTGCTGGAACACTCAGATGTTAGGGTCAGAAACAGAAACTGACATTTCAGGCTGCAGGTGCTATGATGGTGCGTAGGGGATATTTTCTTGTTAAACTCTGGGCCTGTACATAATGAGCATCATTTAACTGCCACAGTCTCCAAGAGTATTGCTGTTGACCACGTTCATCTCTATAGACCACAGTGTACGCATCTTCAAAAAAATATTGTTTCCAACAAGATACGTGTGCCACAAATCTCAAAACATCTCAAACTGGTTTCGTGAACATGACAATGAGTTCAGTGTATTCAATGGCCTCACCAGATCTCAGGTCAATAGAGCAACTTTCGGAAGTGGATGAACAAATCTGCAGCAAGTGTGCGATCCTGTCAGATCAATATTGACTAAAATCTCAAATGAATGTTTTAATCGTGTTTTATCCTCCTTAACAGCATCGTAATTACTGGTAACACATCTGTCAATTTGGTTAAAATGCACGTTAAATAGAAATCGTACCTTTCACTTCTGCCTTTGGTGGAACGATGGTCTTCTTCGCCTCATCCCACCGGAACCTTTATAGTGTAACACACCGCTCGGCAGTCATGTCGGCGCTGAAGTCGAGTCGCTCGTTGCCAGAGTCCTGAAAAAAATCGCCAGTGTAACTCATTCTGCAGTTTTTATACTGAAGAATAAAGCGTGTCAAGATTATGTGTTGAGGGGAAGCAAGGCGTTCGTTGCAGTATTGATTTATTTTGAGGTAAAGTAAGTTTTCTCCCGACTTCACCCTGAAGCTTTTTTCTTCTTCACTGTTAGCTAACGTTAGGCAGCTTAGCTGAGTAGATATAATAAAACAGTCAACACCACGTCGACTTTGCATATGTTTAAGTGCCATTAAGGTTATATAGGACAGACTTCCTAAGAAGGAGAACTTACAGTTATGGCACTACAGTGGAGGGAGTTTAAATTATTATTGCTTGCAGCTTATTTGAGGTTCTTGAATAAACTGAGAAATAAACTGTTCGCTTTTATTTGAGCTACAGTTAGTATTTTTTCATCCCACTAACCCATATTTGTTGCTATTCTCCATTTTATAGTGCGTGATTACATTAACGGGTAGTTACTACTCATAATCAGCAGCAGTCTATCTGTTTTCTCAGTTAGTTGCTTGAGCCATGACATCGCTATCAGAGGAGGTTCTGCTGGTGGTGAAAAAGGTCCGACAGAAGAAGCAGGATGGTACACTCTATCTGATGGCTGAACGTATAGCCTGGGGTCCAGAAGGCAAAGATCGCTTCACAGTCAGCCACTTGTATGCAGATATCCGCTGTGAGTACTAGATGCCGTTAAACTACAAATCGAGGCACAGAAATGCTCATCTCTACGAAAATTGCTCAAGCTGCTGTTTCTGCTCTGTACAGGTCAGAAGATCAGCCCTGATGGGAAAGCCAAAGTCCAGCTCCAGCTCGTCCTTCACACTGGCGAGAGCACCACATTCCACTTTGCCAACGAGAGCACTGCACTCAAAGACCGAGAGGCTGCCAAGGAACTGCTGCAGCAGCTGCTGCCCAAGTTCAAGAAGAAAGCCAACAAGGAGCTGGAGGAGAAAAACAGGTACATTTTTAACATAAATACATGTATCAAGGGTAATGTTTTAGCAGAAGTAATCACAGTCTGTACTAGCCTGCCTGCAGTAACATGTGGTGGTCGTGTTTGTAATTCAATTTTGGATGTTAAAATGGGGGCCTTCATTTACAAATTGTGTGAACTGGGGTGTAGATTCCCAGCTGCATTTGTTTTTTCTGAGAAGTTGGATCTCAGAGCTTTCAAACCTGAATGGACCGCAGTCACCCAGTAGAAGTGGAAAAACCTGGTTTTGTTTGTTATCTGGAAACGTAGTCATTCAGCCATGACTAGCAATACCTGAAATGCAGTGCAATGCCTGCCGCAGCACATTCACAAACAGAGCTTGATCAGTTCTCTGAGTCAAAATACATAACAGTGGTAGTACAGATTATTTTAAACTTTTACTTCTGTTTATCGGATTGGTGTGGCTTTCCACATTTTTGAAGATAGCATTCCAGTGGAAATGCCAAACTGGGAACTCTGGATTTCTGACTCCAAATGGAACGTAGCATTACCTCAGTGTTAGCTCTCATATTCAGATTGGCAGAAGCTAGAGAGGAAAACACATTCTCTGTCATCCATGACATTATTTACTTATTCCTTTTGGGTTGGGAAGTAATAAAATCATACATGCAGTCCATATAGTTGCCAATAGTATTCTTTGTTAAAATCTCTAGTTGTGTTTGTTTTGGGCCTTGACATGTAATAGAGGGATGCTGCTGCTAAGATACTGCGAGCTACCTTATCTCATCACATGTGACATATTTGCATGAGACAGTTTTACCTTCATTTTCTATCAATTTTAAAGCTCTTTTTTTGTAATGTTTGTTCAGAGTTCTCTGTAAACTCCTATTGAGTTCTCAGAGTCCATCTGTGTGAATGCCCGATAGTTGTTCATATTTATTTAGTATCATGATAATCCTTTTGGCTCTGCCACAGGATTTCCCATTTTACAACTATTCTGCAAACAAAGTGCAAATCACAAATGCTTGTCCTGCAGACCTGTGTGGAAATATAGTCATTATTATTTATATACACATTTATATATAAAGAATGACATCAGTTCAGTTTAATTCGATTTTTTTTTAAATTTGTTGGTTTACATTGTCTTATATTTGACTTACATTTGACTTTAGTAATAAGAGATATTACGTCTGAGATGCATTTTTAGTGCAGTTGGAATTTATAAATATCTATAAATAAAGGCTGGTAAGAACAAGAGAGGGGAAACATAATGATAATCTCATTATTTACCTGCTCTTTTCAATAATAAAAATATAATAAAAATATAATCAGCTGGCAGCTTTCACATGAGTGGCCAGTTACATTTGCACTGTGGGCATGCATTTACTAATGTAAACAGGAAACAGAGGGTAATTTTGTGGAAAAATACTATGGGGAGTCAATGATGAAGTGAAACTGTTACTCAAAGAACAAACTGAGTATAAAGTGGTCATGGTAGTAGACAACAGAATAGGAGTTGCCACAAAAGGAAAATGCATCTAGGAGCATTATCCATACACACACATTTAAGCTGATTAGGAAGCTGTTATGTTTCTGTTTAAATTTTGTGGCCGATGAGACTAAACCAGTAAACAAATGAGGGTGCCAGCATCAGCATTTCCAAAAGTGTCTTTTCTGCCCATCTAGACTAAAACACAGACCCACAATTTTCAACCAAAGCTGGACCAGCAGCATTTCTAGGTTAAAGGATCCTAAAATGCTGCAGAAGTAGTGTAAATGGTGTGTGGGATTATTGTGATTAAAAACACTGCATTCCACATTAGTGTGTCTGATCTTACAAGATATGGCTAAAATTAATAAAAATAAATAAAAAAAAATTTATTATATTTTTATTAGTTTTTCTGTTTTCACAAATAGTGCATAATTACATAACATAATAAAGTGTACAATTCAGAACCAAAAATAAATAAATAAATAAATAAAAACAAACAAAAAACAAAAACAAATAAACAAAACAAAAACAAACAGACTGATAACTAAGCACAGAACACCAGCTCAGTTCCATCTAAAAAACAAATAAATAAATAAAGAGAGAATACAATACAGTACAGTACCTGTGGTCCCAGTAGTACATTGCAGTTTGAACACTCAAGAGAATCCTTGTAACATAATATTAGAAACATCAGGTTCCACATAATTCAAGTATGGTTCCCACACCTTAAAGAATTGATCTGTTTTTGAGTGCAGTATATATGTAAGATATTCCAATGGCACTAGATCCAACACTACTCTTTGCCAACCTTTAATAGTTGGTGCTTTTTCATAAATCCATTGGAGTAGTATATTCTTCCTTGCCGCATAGGTGAGAATACAGTACAATCTCCTATTATTCTTGGATATTAATCGCCGGCTGGGGAGGCCCAGTATAAGAGACAGAGGGTCCATCTCCAATTCACAAAATAAATACAATTAACGAAAATTCTAAAACCAAATTGGTTGTAGAAAACCTTGTAGTGCAATAAAAGTTAACAAAATGAATGTCTGCATAATAGTACACAGATCTGGCACTTCTTGAGTCAAAGATCGAATTGTCAATTTGCATCTATCTTATTTACTGAGCTGACTGAGAAACAGAGTAAAGCAAATAATGATGCTCCCAGCTCCTTTACATTTGTATGTGTCAACACACTTTTACTCTTTTATTTTTGTATTTTCTCCTGCAGGATGCTTCAAGAAGATCCGGTGCTTTTCCAGCTATATAAAGACCTTGTGGTTAGCCAAGTGATCAGTGCTGAAGAATTCTGGGCCAACCGGTTAGGAGGCATTAACAACACAGACCCCTCACCGTATAACAACAAACAGGAAGTTGGTATATCTGGAGCATTTTTGGTGAGTCCATGAAGTCTGACATAATTATGTCACATTTTCTAATCTGAAGCTCTTACCTACAGCTAAAGTTTAACAGATCTAACTTTTATGCTCCACAGGCAGACATTAGACCTCAAACTGATGGTTGCAATGGCTTGAGATATAACCTGACAGCTGACATTATTGAATCCATCTTCAGAACATATCCTGCAGGTAAAGAATTATGTTATCTCCAACTCTTAAGCCCATAAAAATCCCAGGAAGTGGTTATTACAAGCTCAGGTTTTTATTTCAGTCAAAGCCTGCAACAATGATTTTTAAGGCTGTTTGATATTACAATATTTATCGGATGACGATATGAAAACGTCTATTATTTAATATTACGCTGTCCTTTGTTTCATGGTGTCGCAAAATAAAAAGTTTACGGCAATATTTTTTTCATGGTTTTGATGGTCACTGTAGTTGCTATATTAAAAAGTTCTCTCTTACTCTAATATTTAAAATAACTACACTATGGATGAACAAGCGACGGTTTTACGCGTTGTCCTTAGCAACAATGACAGTAAACTCAGCGTGTGGCTCCGCCGTCCGCTTGTTTATTTTCCACATAAACCTTTCACAGTAAAGCTGAAGATCCTGTTGTGATTTTTCATAATAAACCAAAATGATGACAAACAGAAAGACCAGTCAAAACAAATCAAGGACCTTATTTCTAAACGAGGGGCTACCTCTGTGGCATGGACATTGTTATGAAAAGTCTGACATGGACCAGAAAACTGTACTATGCAAATTATGCAGAAAACCGGTCCCCACCTCAGACTCAAACACGGCAAACATCTTTTACCACCTACTTAAGAGTCACATAAAAGAATATGGAGAGAGTGCTCAAGATAAACCATGCATCGGTCAAAACACTCGACTCCAGGTACACGACGCCCAGCTGGAAATACTTCACGCAATTCGTGTTACTCGAGATTCACAGAATTTACAGAAAATGTAAAAGTTTTTGTGATGTATATCGTTGTTGGGACGATAAATGTCTTGTATCGGGATATGAGATTAATGATTTTAATAACTGGCATGCAATCAATCAGAAAGGAAGCAAAACTACAATTTTCTCACTGAAGCAAAGTTAATGAGAAAACTGCATAGAGCCTTCGATGTTTTTCCTCAGTCTATTAAATGTGCAGCTGGTGTCCCTCATGACATTTAGAAATTAATTTTTTGACTTTGCATTTTACTTGCAGTGAAGCAGAAGTATAGCGAAAATGTGCCTCATAACCTGACAGAAAAGGAGTTCTGGACCCGCTTTTTCCAGTCCCATTATTTTCACAGAGACCGCATCAACACAGGGACACAGGATATCTTCTCAGAGTGTGCAAAGCAGGATGAGAAGGGTAGGCAATCTGACTCCTTTCTAGGACTGCCACCACACGTAGGAAGTCATTAATGTAAAGTTTTAACATTCAATCCATGCAGGGTTAAAGTCTCTCGTGACTCAAGGAGTAAAGAATCCTTTGGTTGACCTCCAGTCGTTGGAGGATAAAACATTAGATGAGGTGAGATGATTAGCCATCCTCAGTCATTTGTGATAACTCTGTAATCATTTACCTTCCTTTACCGATCAAAACCTGTTTTTTGTGACACAGGGTTATGGAATTTGCACAACACAGCCCTCAACTTCCAATGCAAACAAGTCGGTGAAGGACAGCAGTAACTCTGCCATTATAAAGCGGTTCAACCATCACAGTGCCATGGTCCTGGCAGCAGGCTCAAGGAGAGGGTAAAGAAGTCACACTTAAACCTGAGTGCAAGCTTTTCAGCGTCTTTTATCATTTTCCTGATAATCTCCTGTTTTTGAAGGGAGTTGGCGTCTGACCAAGCCAGTGAGACGAGCAGTACAGATGGAAACTCGAGGGATTCTGACTTCTTTCAACCTCCTGTTAAGAAGGTACAATGGCTTTGCTTTTTTACAGTATTGCTCTCTGTGTAGCAGCTTCACTGACTCTGTTCTGTGGACAAACTTTCTTAGGTTAAACTACAGGAAGCCATAGAATTTGAGGATCTGCAAAGGGAAAACAGACCAAAAACAGTCCCATTAAACCTGAAGAAGTCTGACAGGTACCATATGTCCACTTATTTTCATATATATTATTAAAAAAATTTCTGGGTGACTCCATGTTTTTTTAATCTAATAATATCATCGGTTAACAAGTGTAAAGTGATTCTAAATTATCATTAGTTAATAAATGTAAAACATACACACGACTTATGGCTGCCTGTAGCTCAGGAGATAGAGCAGCTCATCTGCTAATCAGAAGGCTGGTGGTTTGATCGCTTGCTACTGAAGCCTACATGCCAAGATACTAAAACACCATACGAAGAGCCAAGATGGAGTTAGTTTGGGCAAGATACGAACCCCAAGTTGCTCTCAAGTTGTGTGTGAATGTTAGATAGAAAGCACGTAGAGAAAGCAATAAATTAAAGAATAAAGTGAATGGGTGAGTGAGGCAGGTTGAATAAAGTGCTTTGAGTCCTCAGGTAGAGTAGAAAAGTGATGTCATTTAGCTGTCTTTATTTTCCAAGAATTTTGCAGTTCATGAAATTGTTCAGTAAGCTGTGTTTGTGTTTTCAAATGTAGTTTATTGAGAGATTTTTTTTTCAGATGAGGAAGTTGACAGAACAAAGACGGGAAGTTTTGGAAAGTCCGGTGGTTTTTTTAATTGCATCATTGCCTGGCTGTATCTTTTGACTAAACAATTATTAGCTCAGTAGTTCTTACCTGCGACCTCTTCTGTATATTGTTTACATGAGTTAAATAAATTGAACACAAACTCTTCACATCAGAAGCCAAAAAAGATCACATCCACATATAATGCTAGTTTATTTTCCCAACAGAAATTATATCTATTAATCTTAGTTTCATGCCATGTTTTTCCCTGCACTGGCTCGCAGCTCACAGAAGCACTGCATTAGGTGCTGATTGGCTGTCAGGTTTAGAAAAGTTTGTATAGCCGGGATAGTTTGTAGAACTCTACAGACAAAAATCAGCCAAGCAAAGTTTGAGAAGAGGGTTTGTTGTTGCTGATCCTTCTTTTGTACAAAGTTCTCACTTGTAGTGTTTCATAATAGATGTGATGTAATACAAGGTCAAATGTTTTTGCTACAGCATACTGTTGCTATAGCACAAGGGGCTGCTCTTCTATTTGCAGCACTGATTCATGTTTTAGGCTAACAAAACTGCCTTGTTTTTAGTCAGACTATCCAATGTGTCTCACTTCTCTTTTTATAAGGTATGCTCATGGACCTGTGCCACTTCAATCCCAGCAGTATACAACTAGCCAAGATATCATCAACTCTGTCAACTACATCCGTCATGAGATGGCTAGTTACAAACCCAGCCTCACTCAGGTTAGAGCCCAGACTTTGTGTTTCTGTTACTTTAGCACTTGGCTAAAGATGATGTCATCAGATCTTAACCTGCATTCACATACTCATTCAGACTACAATTAGATGCATGCATGCTAATGATGAGCCTCTGTTGTGATTCAACTGATCTTTGGAGTCATTCATGCACAGCTGTGAAGTTTAGCAACTAATTTTCAGGTAACGTTCAGGAGAACACATGTCAGGGAGGTGCCCAACAAAGAGTCTGATATCCCTGTGATGTTGTTGTTCTTTCAGCTTAGAATTCAGTGTCGCTCCAGACACATGTTTAGGATGTAAGCCTCCAGTGCTTTGTGTCAGAAAGTCAAGGCAGAAAGGCTTTTAAACACATAGTTAATGTTGTAAACAAGTCCATTTAAATGGAAATATAAGCCAGGAAGTTGAGTGCTTAAACCCATCACAAAGCAGCCATGTCATTTACTGGGAAAACCTTGGCAGACATCCATTATTTATGACTCTTCCCTCAGAGATGGGACATTTCACATACTGAAGCTTATATTCAGTGTTGCCCATGTCAGCGGACTGGGAGACATTTCATTGTCCCAGACTGCAATCAGTAGATGATGTTGATATTTTCACTTTCAAATGGTGATTATCAGAGCTTTCTTATATATTGTAAACTTTGTAATATATTGCAATATTTAATTAGTTCAGTCTGCTACTGTTATTGTCTTGGAGCAACTGTAATCCACATAATTTCCTTATTAGGGATTAGTGAAGTATTCTGATTAACGGATGAGACAATTTTGGAATTAATTTATTCTTTGGTAGAAAAAAAGATTTAGATTATCGTACTTGAGTATTTAAATTGTTAGAGATAATCTAATAATTCAGGTAGTGACCGAAAGAACGAGATCGGGAAAACATAGGTGGAAATTGGCTTCCTCTGAAGGGTGGCTGGCCTCTCTACCTTAGAGAGAGGGTGAGAAGTTCGGCCATTCGGGAG